TGTGTGTGTGTGTGTGTGTGTGTGTGTGTGTGTTTGAGAAAGAGAGAGAGTGTGCGCGTCTGTGTGAAATTATGACCGAGTTAACGAGTTGTTTTCCGACATGAGGGGGTATTCTTGAATTTTCCCAGTCAGAAAGAGTTTTTCTGATTATGCCGACGTCACTTGAACGCAGCATTCACTGCAGGCCATTCAGGTCTCATAGTGGGAGCGGGGCACTGCCGTGCTGACAAAATTATATATGTTATCGTGGCTATTTGTCATGATATCGGACTTATCGGAATGACGTAATAATTCCTGTTATCGGCCCGATAGTTATCGTGCACCCCTAAGTTTTATGTGCATCACTCTGCAATTTAAACGTGCATGCTTAATTTAATTAGGGCAAGCCACATGTCGCAAGTCCCGCGTAAATATTGCACACGTGTGCTTCGTGATGCTAAAAAGATATACTATCGTTCGGGCCTAGTTGGTTGTGTGTCCGCCCTTGCATGTAATTACGGTGCTGCATAAATTGCACGTCACGCTGTTAGTCTTTTTTGGTGAAGGGAAGCCTCACTTTCGACCACTTCTGTCTCTCCGCCATTACGTCTTCTTTGTTGTTGAACGTGCTACTGACTGACGAACGTGACATGCGTCATCGACGTAAAGATTTGGTGTAATGAAAAGAATCGATAAGGGAATCATTAAGCATAAACGCTAATGATGTCGTTGAATTGAACTAATTTGAACAGGTTCTTAACAGGAACCTGTTCTCGATTCCCATCCCTATCTCTGACTGATCTATTCTTGTTTTTTGTCTTTATCAAAGAGGCGTGTCCTGAAGTATGGATGCTACTCCCCAGAATGCAATGCGCCATGACATTGTTGCCTGTTCTCTATGGAGCACAATGGTAGTAGTAGTAGTAGTGACTACAACTCAGTTCCACCACAAACTTGTGCACTGTCAAAACTAATTAGACCTGAAAAGCTTTGTATGTAGACTAATATAAAAAGTTATTTGATGTATTCATATATATATTTACACAATTTTATTTATCATCATTGTTGTTGATGGTGGTTCATTCCCACCTCTGAAAGGTCACACTGTGTAATCGGGTTTGTGTGACAATGCTAGGGCTGAACGATATATCGTTATCGTATCTATACCGAGATATGAACATGCAAGATATTAATATCCCAAAAGGCAACGATATTGACGATATAATTTCCCCATGAGTTTCCCCAGCTTGACCTGCATGTACAGCTCAGCCAATCACAAACATCCTTTTTACGCTTGCCCTAAATGTACAGCTACGGCCAGCCAATCACAAACCTCATTTCCTGCTTGCCTTGGATCGACAACAAAGCCAGCCAATCACAAACATCCCCTTGAGCGA